ACAAAAAATGGCTAGTTTGAAATAACAGAAAGGAAGAGGATACATAGAAAATAAGAGTAATATATTCAGAGTATGCGCTTGTAGGGAAATATAATGAGAAACCCAGTTTCTGTTGCTGTGATTCATTTTCAGATGTAGCATCTAAACAGTTTTTAATCTAAAATCATGAATTTCATGTCTGTTCAGGATGCTTCTCATTTTACCTCTGGCTATGATCTATTTAAAACTGGCAGATAAAAATAACCATTGTAAATATGTCTCATAAAAATAAACTAATAAGGTAATGTTAAGGGTTAGTGCCTGTTTTATGCCTGTTGGTGATAGAAACAACTAAAATAATAGATTCTATTTAAATCCCATGAATAGATATTTTTACTTTGGGATATTTACCTTTTTTCAAGAAAAGACAGTATAGGATTTCACATTTAGAAATCCAAGTGGTGTGCTATGTAGTAATGATTCATAAAGCATATTGGTAGTTGTGAATTAAATAAAGATTTCTGACACAGAACTTTTATATCTGATAGCAACCCAGTTAGGATAGGTGATTGTTTCTAATAGGGCATATAAGCCAAAACAGGTACATAAAGTTTGTGTAGACACATTATTATTATGTATGTTTTCTAATCTTAGAGTATGCAAGACAATCAAGAGATACAATCCACTTTCTATCATATATATATGATATGTGACAAATATATGGGTACCAATAGCACTGTCTTTGAAGAACACAGCACACTATGGTAGCCTTTTTTACCTAAACATTATGTCTATAGTCAATGCATGGGGGGTGGAGTATAGACAAGTTAACATCTGTTGGACCTTATGTGGACCTGATTTAATAAACAGATTGCATGCAGAGGCATTGTTCAAGTCAAATAAATATGTTTGTTTGAATGAGGCCACCAAGTATTGTCCTCCTCTATAGCAGTGGCCACTTTATTCTAGAAACTCACGTTAATTTGCAGGTCTAATGAGACACTGCATAAATAATCTATCCGCCTTATGTCCAGAATGTGGAAAATTCCAGTTGAAATTATTTTAGGATGCTTACATTCTGCCTCCCCTTACATTCACATACACAGATGAAAAATTCCACTGAGTATATCCATGTTCAAGACGATGCTACTGTATGTTGAATACCAGGTACTGGTGACAGTAAAGAGCTAGTATGTTCCAATTAAATTATTCAGGAAGCAGTATCTAGGTGGTAATAAAATTTAGGGCTGACGAAGGCTTTTTTCTTATTCTTTGTATAAGTCAAGAAGTAGGAGACTGCATGCAAAAATATAGACTGGTTGATATATTGTCCATACCGCTTCATGTCAAATTGGGCATCCCGTTGCATATTATCTCGATTTACTGCAGTTTGAATTTGGGGTATAATTCTTTCTAATCTTAATGAACTGTGGGGTAAATGTAGCTTCTGTTGTGTGCCCTCTGTATTCATTTTCATCATGCTAATTTTGTCTACATTATCAATTTCTAAGAATAGAATCTACAAATAATTAGGCAGGACTATTATGGCAGTTACTAGGAATATGATTTGTCTCTTATGTGTATGATTTGCATTTTGATTTGCTTAATAAAGGCAGTCTATGAAAACATCTCAGTTTAACCATTCTGCTTATATGAAATTATAAGAGGAGAGTTCTCTTGGTTCTCCTGCTTTGATTTTGTCTGCTTGCTTCAACTACATTAGCCTTAATTATATTTATAGAAAACCAGAGTTCTCTCAGATAACCAGGGTTTTGAAATTAGCTTCAGATCCTCATTAACTTTAAGGAGAGCCAAGATCTGTTCTTAGCTTAGCCTTAATCAAACTTGCAGGGAGCAGGGAGCATGTGATTCCACAGATAACATTTTGGTTCCTTAACTGTGACTGTGAAATTGAAGCTTGATGGAACTACATAACTATGGTGTAGTACCCTGATACCTTGTACGAAGGGGAAAAAAATATGGTCTTGCTTCTGTCTAAATATGAAGCAAAGTCAGTGCTTTGTTACAAATAATATTTATATTTAGGAAACTGCCCCACTATGACGAATTCATTTCAGTTAAATGTGTATAAGTTATTACAGAAAGGATTGCAGCTATAATATATAAATTTATCTGCAGAAATTAACTTGTGTTACTAATGTATGATTTCAGAATATAAAACTATTTTAGTAATTTAGGTGCCAATTACATCAGCTTTCGGGACAGCCTTGATGCATTTTAAATGAAAAATTCAGATCATTTAAACAAATTATGCATACATAAATAAAAGACATAAAATAAGAACCAGAATTATGCCAAATTTTGCTTTACAATTAGAATTCCTTGCTTGATTAAAAGCTGACTTTAGTTCAGAGGAATGGCTAAATGCAAAAATAAAGCATTCACAGAGACTAAATTATGTAGAATATAATTTTATATTTAATTTGCATTAGTTCTGCTTTTATTACGAACAAATTATTAATATACTTCAGTGTTCATGGAACTTGGTTCTGGGAAATTATTTTATGATTTAATTAGTAAGATTATAAATATATATTTCAATAATTTGTGATTTTGCATGGTAGAAATATTTATAAACAAAATGCAGGAGATAAATATAGTAAAATAAGAACCATTACAATGGAGATATTGTTTTTAGAAAAGCTTTTAAAAAAAGCTGGATATTTCAGTGTAAGTATAAAGGAATGATCTAAGTATTTTTCCAGAGTCTTTGTGTCAAGTTTTACACCATTAACATTTCCTTGTTACATTTCATGTGAAGGCAAGCAATGAGAACTTAAGGTGCATCTAAGCAGATGATAGTCAATGATGGAGATAAATACCAAATGTTGTAAATGTGAAGTTCTTCTGATGATAGCTCCTTTCTAGATAGCGTATTAGTACATTTTGACCAAAATTTCCACTTCAATTTCTGTTTTCTCAGCTTTGTTGCTTTATTGTATCATTGAAGCTACCTCAAAATGAAAGATGTTTAAATAATTGTAGGAATTAATAGATACTTGAAGGGAATTCAGGCTGAAATGATTTTTTAAAAATAAACACTTTGACCATTCTAAAAAAAAGGAAGTATTTTAAAACTGAAATTATTAGTAAAGCAACCGGTTAAACCATGGGTTTTTCTATTGTTGTCTGTAACCTAGAACAGTCTTAAGAGGGACACTGAGAAGTAGAGCATTCAGAGAGAGCTACTGGGTGATAAGAGATCTGGAAACTCTAATCCTGAGGTTAAAGGAGCTGGAGCACGTTTGCTTGCAAAAGAAAAAACTGAGGAAAGACACGAGAGTGGTCTACAAATGCCATGTGTCAGAGGGGATGGATTTGTTCTCTGTTAAAACCAAGAACATGACAACTGGTTTAAATTAAAAGAAAAAAAGATCTTGCTGAATAGTTGAAGGAATTTCCTGATGGTGAATACTCTTAAAGAGTAAAACAGACTATTTAGAACATGATGGGACCCTCTTGCTGGTGGCTTTCCAGTGTGGGCTGGATGACCATCTCTCAGGGGTGATTTACTAGAATCTTACACTGGACAAGGCTTTGGACAAGAAGACCTGTAAGGCTGCTTCCAGCATGGATGCTCTATAAATCTATGTTTCTCTATCTGAGTATTTACAGTAAATATTATTCTATGGTTACTAACGTTTCAAAATATATTTTTCGTTAATATCACAAACTGTTTTGAAACTTTGGTATCCACAGGGAGTTTCTTTGTCCAGCCTCCTGCAAACTTTCTTCCCCAATTAGTGGGAATGTTCTCGCCAACCTTTGTGAGTATTTTCAAAGGAGATAGAGGAACAAAAATTGTTGCTTTTCATGGGATGATATCTGGATTTTGAATTTTATCTTCCCTTCATGAGACATTTATACTGTTCCTGAATAGTAATACATAAGAAATCAATTTTCCTGTTGGATTTCATATTTTTGCTCACCGATAGACCTGCCTTATTGCCAAACCCGAAAGAATAAATTATGTTTATATGTAGCCATTTGTTTTCAGTTTTATGGACACTGAATAGTTTTACCTTGCTGTGATGGTATATATGTAACTTTGGTTAGATAAAATCACAGCAATCTGACTTTTATATTAAAAAGATTAGCTTGATGTGATTCCCTTTACTAGAGACTCACAGCATAACATATTCCTGCTTAATTCCTCTTTTTGATCTCATAAGAGGATGACCTTAAAGGACATTTTATTTTAAAGCTCCTAGGGAAATGGCTGCAAGCAAAAGAACAGGAGAGAGCAAAATAGAATGTGATTATATATAATATTTTAATCTTGTCATAAGTAGTTTCAGGTTTTATGTTTAATGAACTACATATATTAACTTTGTTTGTTCTGGAACATTGTAGTAATTTTCTTACATTTTGTATAACTGATTTAATTGTAGATTTGTACTGGAAAAAGTTTATTTTTCCTAGTTAAAGGCTTATTGAAAATGAATTCATACTATCCATATATATTAAGAAAATAGAATATTGCATAATCACATATAGTTTATTTTAAGAGATTGTTTCACAAGCATTTAAAAATTATGTAACTATTCAGTATCCAATTACATTTCTTAATGCCTGAATGCACAATGGAATTTGAAGTAGATCAGATGAACAGCTAGACTGGTGCAGAGTAATCCAAAGATCTATTTTTCATACTTTTTCAGAATTCCTTGCCAGCCCTACTCATTTTTCTTTGCTACTACTATCCCATTTAAGCTAGCAAAGAGAGCTGCTTTAAAATTTAGTGCACATTGAGACTTTTTAAAAGTTTAATTGCTATCATTTGTCATTCTCATTCTGACATAGATATAAATTGTGGGTGGGGGTGGGAAAATCCCCTTTATTTTCTAGAAGTTGGAATTAAGGATTTAGTTTATTTTTACTTTTTATCAAATGAAAACTGAGTGAAACAACTCAGATGTAACCAGCAGCACCTACTTTTCCATTAGAAAGCCCCATACTAAACACTCAGTGTGTTGACTTTGTTTTTCCTTGTGTCGTAGGTCTATAAATACTCTGCACCAGTTTTGCTGTCCAGCTCCATTGTACCATACTCTGCTAACTCTCCCTGCCACACACTCAGAGTACAGGTAAGAGTAGTGATGGACCACCCACTTCTTCCTTTCATAGAGAGATCTGACCATACATTTATTTAATTTTGGGAGCCCTGTGTGATAAAAAGAGTTTGCTATGAAAGTCATTACCCATTGAAATCATTTTTTAAAAAAATGTAAATAGATTTGCAGACTGTAAGTTTTTGTAGAAATTCCAGAGAGAATTAGCATAGTGGGTCTAATTATTCCTGTTTTTATTCACTAAATAAACAAAGGACATATGGGGATATACATGGATTAACAAAGGCATAAGATAAAAATATATTTATCTTATTTACACCCACCTTTCTAGTCTAGCAAGTATTCAAGATTGCTTTAAAAATTATACATGAAGACTACATATAAAATGGATATCTAGTTTTGTTTTTTAATCAGTAAAAGTTAGTGTCAATTTGCCATTTCATGGCTAAATATTTATATTAAATATTAATAGTATGTTGAAAAATCATGGCATTTTCCTTCTTTAGGAAAGAATCAGCAGTAAATCCTAGATCTGTAAATGCTGAAACATAGTTTGTCATACAAGATGTATGTCCATATAATTTATTAATTCCATATTCAGCATTATCCTCTGTTTCTCTTTGTTGTTAGGTTTTCTCCCTTATAAATATAAGCAATTTGGAAAGAGTGAATGTGTTATGCCCTTGTAGACACTCTCAGTACAATAAAAGCCAGTTTGCCCAAACCATTGTCATTTGGAATAGGGTTTTTTCTTTTTTCGTTTTTAAGTATATCTTGATCTTTGCTATATAGCATGTTTACATGCTTTGTGATGCACCAAGGCAAAGGCAAAGCCTAAGCCATGCAAAGCAACTGACTAGAAACGAACTACATGAGCTGGTTTTACCATTGGTGAAGACTACAAAAAGAGAAGGCGGTCATAGAGATGGCAGCTTAGAATTAATGAATGGTGGATTCATTCACTGTTCAGTGGATCACAAATTGCAGCATTATTGTACCTCCAGCACATGATGGTTCTTTATTATATGGGGATAACATACCTGTTTGAAGGAAATGTAAAAAAATACCCATTAAGGAACCTTTTTCCTACTATTTTTGTTTAATTAATACTTCATTTGCATCTGAGATGGTCTGTTAGGTTGCAGTCTTACGATCTCATGGTCCCTTGAAAGCATATTTCCTAATCAAATTAAAATTAATTCATTTTCTTATTTAATACATAAAAATAGAACATACAGTTAGTAGTTTTACTAAAAACATGGAAAGTATGTTACTGTCTTCTTGTAATAAATAACATTGTTGATTTGACAAGAAGAAATCTCTGCAAAATGAATGTACTTTCAATTCTAAACATGTATGCATTCAAACAGATTTTTTTAAAAAATCCATAGCAAACTTATAAATTACCTTGGACTTGAATTTTCATTAGAGCTTACTATTACAGCTGTACAATACTTGGATTTAAAGGTAAAGAGATATTTTTGAGCTTGTAGGAGTACCATGTAGCACCTGTCTATAACTCCTTAAACCAAATCCTTATTTTCTCTGGATTGTGCGGAAGTTGTAGAAGATAGCTGGACATGCTTAAGGAGCTGCAATCAGGTGTTACATTTAAGAACTCCAAAGCACCTTTCTGCCTCGGAATCCGAAGCACTTCATAACATCATGCAGTCATGGAACTATGAAGCGGAAAGGGAGGGACCACAAAGACCATCTTGTGCAACTCTGTGATATACTGTATAAGAAGACCAATCAAACAATCCTTGAGATGTGGCTGACCAGGCTCTTCTTAAATATCTCCAGAGATGGAGAACCCATAACCACCATAAGGATACTGTTCAATTTTTGTACCTATCTTACCATCAGGAAGGTTTTCCTTATATTTGAATGAAATCTAATTATTATACCCATTATTTCTAGTCCTAGTTTCTGTGACAAGGGAAAATAGCTTCTGATCATCATTCTTATAGCACGCTTTTATGTACCTTAATACTGATAGCCTATTTCCGTTCAGTCGTTTTTCATCCAGATTTCATCCATGTCCTGAAATCCCTGTATCATCAACTATTAACTGCAACTATTTGGGTATATAAATAACATCCCATGATACTCTCTTCTGTTCCCGTATAGCATAAGTGCTAATTGCTGTTTTGAATCATTAACTGATTAAAGTTATTGTGCATGTGACTCACTCAGTCCTGTATTTGTTTGTTCAGAGGAAGCAATGGCAAACCTCTTCCATACTGCCCCCAAGAAAACTATATGGATTTATTTATGAAGTCACCTGAAATATAGCTTGATTTGAATGAGACTTCAGCTTCACCCCAGAATAAGAGAAGTCATAGAACTGTGGAGCTGAAACAGACCATAAAAGAGAGCGTACAACCACATAAGTAGACTGTTCTGTTTTACAGATCTTACTCAGGAAGTTTTTCCATATATTTAAATTAAACCTAGGTAGCTGCAACTTATATCTATTCTTTCTGGTTCTAATTTCTGTAGCCACAGAATGATTGTCTTTCCTGTACAGCCTTTAAGTACCTGAACGTGGGTATCTCTCTTAAGTCTTCTGCAGACTAAACATTCCAACTTCCTTCAGCTTGTCCTCATAAAGCATGTCCTCAGATCCCTGTTTCATCTTTGTTGCCCTCCTCTGGAGCTGTTCTAATCTGTCAATGTCTTTCTGGAAATGCAGTGCTCAGAATTGTAAACAGTATTCTAGGTGTGGTCTCACAAATGCAAAGTAAAGGGAAATAAGGACTTCACATTAAAAAAAAAATTCTAACTGCATTGGCTGTTCTAGCAGCCATCTCACACTGCTGTTTTATATTTAATTTTTGTTGTCAAAGATTACACCCAAGTCCTTCTCTGGATATAATACTTCCAAACCATAGAATCATAGGGTTGAAAGGATCTTGTTTCTAGTCCATCACCCTGCCCAAAGCAGAAATCCTCAGACTATCCCAAACAAATCACATTCCAACCTTTGTTCAAAAATTGCCAGTGACTAAGGCACTCACAACTCCAGGAGGCAGGCTGTTCCACTGCTTCATAGTTTCATGGTCAGGAAATTATTTCTTATTTCAGTTTGGATTGCTCTCTATAAAGCTTCTCCCTGTTGGTTCTTGTCCTGCCTGCAGGCACTATGAAGAATAAAGCCATGTCCTCTTCCCTATAACAGTCCTTCAAGTATTGAAGACTGCTATCACTCTTAGTCTTATTTCTTTAAGCTAAACATACCCAGTTCTTTTAACCATTCTTCATAGGATTTAGCCTCTAAGCCTTTTACCATCTTGTTGCACTTCTCTGCAGTCTTTTTCCGTTCTTTAGCATCCTTCTTGTATTGTGGTAACCAGAACTGGAGACAGATTTCCAGATGCAGTCTGGCCAGTGCAGTGCAGAGTGGAACTATAACTTCCTGTGATCTCAGTACTATTCTTCTGTTGATTTAGCTCAAGACTGCATTGGCTCTTTTGGCAGTTGCAGCACACTGATGGCTCAGGCTTAATCTGTAGTCTACCAAGATATCGAGATCCTTCTCACAAGTACTACTGTTAAGCCAGGTACTGCCTACCTGTACATCTGATTTTTGCTAACTTAGGATAAAACCCTACAATTCCTGCTATTTTATATTTCTTTACTTACATAGGCAAATGATACCAAGATTAGAAATTGGATAAGAGTCCAGGATTATTCATGCTTAGTGATAATAGTAGTATCTCAGGCTATATGGGAGTTTGCACTTGAATTCTGGATTTGTTTCCTCTGCCACTTATGTGTTTGTTCAAGATCTTATGGAAAGATAACTCTTCCCCAGTCTCTAAATCAGGCCTCTTGTTTAGCTAATTCTGAAGATGCTTCATTTTTCAGTACACATGTACAGCTCATATTTAGCTGTTATATTTGTAGATCAGTCTTCCTCTGAGGGAAGAATATACATGTTAACTGTATTTATATTTTTGGTGCTCCCCAAACAGAACAAACAGCAAGAACAGTTGGTTAATTCTAACATTAGGTTGCAAGATTAATTTGTAAAATAATCCAGAGTAATTAATATTGCATGCAAGAATGAAAAGAGAAATAGATTAATGGTCTTATGTTAGAGGAAGGCAGATGCCACTTGAATGTTAGGAAAAACATTCTACCACTAAAAACAGTTCACTACTAGAAACAGTTACAAAAGATGGTGGTGAACTTCTCTTCTCTGAACAATTTTAAACAGAAGCTGGACAGCCATTTGTTTGGGGATATTTTAAACTGAATTACTCATTGAATAGGGGTTGGACTTGATGGCTTAAATAGTTCATTTGAACTGTTCATGATAAATGCATTCATGAGTCTTGAGATTAATAGCACCACTTTAAAATCTGACTAATTTTACTATTAGTTAATTGGTTGATTTGTATTCACTGTTGCAACTATTTTCCCTGAAATAAGAACTTTGGAATCATTAATACTTTTTATACTGCTTTTCTTCTTGCTTTTGACAATTTATGGACTACCTGAAGCAAAGAAAATGATCATTCGTGTATAAGATATAATTTGAAATAATTTGTTTTTAGCAGATATACAGTACTGTGCAAAGGTTTTAGGGAGGTGTGAAAAAATGCTGTAAAGTAAGAATACTTTCAAAAATATATATTGTAATTGTTTATGTTTATCAATTTACAAAATGCAAAGTGAGTGAACAGAAGAAAAACCCATATCAAATCAATATTTGGTGTGACCACCTTTTGCCTTCAAAGCAGCAAAGTGAGTGAACAGAAGAAAAACCCATATCAAATCAATATTTGGTGTGACCACCTTTTGCCTTCAAAGCAGCATCAATTCTTCGAGGTACACTTGCACAGAGTTGTTGAAGGAACTTGGCAGGTAGGTTGTTTCAAACATCTTGGAGAACTAACCACAGGTCTCCTGTGGATGTAGGCTGCCTCAGATCCTTCT